TAATAATAATAATAATAATAATAATAATAATAATAAAGAATTGCACAGAGCCATGCATCTTACCTCGGGGGAGCCCAGTCATGCCGTGTACAGTCCAACAGGGTGCCCACATATGTCTTGTTTCTCCAAGTAACATTGACCACTAGCATGCCTGTAAAACAAAGGATCAAAGATTTACATATTTATCTTACAACACCTATTAGAATACATTAAAGGAAGTGGATAAAATACAGCTCATATACCAAACAGAATATTTTACTGCGAAGTCCCTACATAACAGCAAAATGTAAGGAAAATGATGCTACAGCCATAATGCACTGTGTTAATCTTCGCTAAAGGGTGTCATATGGAAGACAGTTTTACAATTCAAGGGATCCTTTTTTTAATCTTCTTCACACAGTAAAGCCGTGGGGGCAAGACTGACTGATATCTTCTAAATGACTTGGAACAGACTCAGCTGCAGTCGGTATTGTAAAACCTGTAAAAATAGACACTTGCAGCAGGTCTCGCTGAGAACGATCGCATCGATTTTACCGGGAAATACTCACACAACACCCATTCGATTTAAATAAGCCATCTCAAAGTACAAGAGAGTTCCCTGAGGGACAATTACTTGGATGCAAATATTTTCGGCAAAACTTCTATCTCGCTTTTTAGCCCAAAAATTTACAACCTTGGAGAGAATGTAGAGGCAGTACCACAGCTTATGAAAAACAAGCAACAAGCTCCTGGGCTCAACAGATTTCAGTGAGGATGGCTCTTTCTGACAATGTGCAAAGAAAGCTACTTGACTTCAGTGGCATTCCAGCAATCTGTCACACTTAGAAGCTTCTGCGTTGCCTATTTGGCTCATGTGAATACTGTAGCATTCGGTGTGAGCTACACGATCCCACTTGTGCTAAGTGTGACACTCTAAAATGAGAGATTCTAACATTAGAGATAAAATTAAGATTCGTTTAAGATTGCATTAACTAAAATCCTTGTACGTGGATGTTTAACTGCGGGAGTACGTTTCATATTAATTCAAGCCACATTCCACACGGCGGCTCCTGTTGAAGGTCGTTTTAAATGGACGCTGCAACGGCAGGCAAACGAAGGATAATCCGAAGATTTGACCCGTAAATTCAGAAGTGAATCATCAACCAAACGGCTACAGTGGTTCAGGAGCAACGACTGTGCACAAACACATGAATTTATTGCCCACACCATCCCCCCTCTCTCTCTGCTGGTGACCTCAGCTTGCCACTTCAGCACTGCAGAGAAACTGGAGGCTGCAGTGAGCTAACTTATCTAATGGCACAGGAATGCTGGCTGGCAGCTTCCATCCCTCCGAACATTTTATTAGCTTAGGAAACCTCTCTTGCTCACCCCATTTTCCCTCTCTCCTTCACCCTCACCCTCATTTCCTCTTTTCAATGGTATAACCATCCCTGGCTTACAATCTTTTCCCCTCCCACACACACAGTTCAAGTCACAGTTCAGACCTCATTTTTCTCTTGCTGCCTCTGGCATAAAGCAGCGAGTGTATAAGGCATTTATATATGTTTACAGGAACCTGCTGACACTTGGCTACAAGTCTCTTCCTTCAATCTATGGCTCGAAAGCATGAATGTTGGGTCCAGGCAAGATCCAACTGCAAATGTCATTTGTGTGTGTGTCTGTGTGTTGCGTAAAGAGAGGTTCTCCAGTTCAGATTTCTGTCACATTAAAAGAACCTAGACCCTTTCTGAAACGCCTTCAACAGCACCCTCTCCCCACCCCCCTAAGCTCTCCAAACACTCCAGCACAAAATGGCTCTGGCAGCTGGTCGTGGCAGGATGTAAATCAAGGCAGGGCAAATGAATGAGTGGCCTTTCATGATCTGCAGGATATAGCCTTCCCGGCATTCTCTAGAGAAGGGTTTAGAAATTACACTACGAGTTGTTAAATGATTTAAAATTAGCATTTGGTCTTTATGTTTGACTGTGTCTTCAGTCGCTGGAACAATGCATGAGCTTAAGAGGGAATTAAGTGTTAGTAATGCCAGCAGCACTGATTGAGACACTTAAAAGGGAAAAAAAGCATTCTCAGATACACATTTCTTTGCCATTTGCTTGAGTCAATAAGAATTTTGACACGACCGCCTGGAAGAGAAAGCGACACATATATTAAGCTTTACACAGATTTACTAGAGCTCAAAGTGAATGAGAGGTATCTCTTAAACCGTTTTTGAGCCACTACAAAGGTTTTCCATCACAACTCAGGTCTGAGCTCAGTTATCAAGGTCTTTGACAATCTTGTTCTGAAGAAATTCCACGCCGCATTTTATCTTGTGATAAGCATCGCTGTCTTGTTGGAAAATAAATCTTAAGCCACAATCTATTTGACACTGGCTGTTTTGCATGAGATTTTCCTCAGGAATTTCCCCATCTTTCCCTCAGCTACAGCTATCATGTGACAGCCAGTGAAAAGCAGATCACAGCGTAGGGTTTCAAATGTTTAACCTCGTGTAGGCAAAGTGGAGGACGGGTGATGAGAATAGATGGCGTGATCAATTTGCATTTGCAGTCTAAATAGCTTGCTGATTTGATTGGAAAGAAATATTATGAGCGGTCAGAGCAAAGGGTCAATTGATACCTTAATTATACTATAAAATGCAAAACATTCTGGAAATCTATTGGGGATGCAACAGGAAGTGTCAGAGGGTCATAAAGAATGTGTTTATCATTGTATGCTTCCTTCAGTGATGACAAACAGGATCATTAACAATATCACAGCAACATGTGAACTATACTTCAACATCAGATCTACCAGAACCCCATTTTAACCCTACGTCACGACCTTGTATTTAAACTTACGTGCACCAGATAAAAGGAGTTTCTGGTTACTAAGAAAGTTAGGATGCAGATTTCCCACAGAAGTCTACATCAAGCCTAAGGTACTTGATAGTTTTAATTGTATGACCCTGTTAAGCCGATATTTTGTATGCGCCTTTACTCTTCAACACAGCCTGAACTCTCTTAGGCAAGCTTTCTTGGTATTTCTTAATACCAGCTCTACTTTGGATATTGGCTGCCTTTTGTTCAGTTCTTTGTCAAGATGATCCAACACTACTTCAGTAATGTTGAGGTGTTCCTCTGTGTGTGGCTCTAGACACTCACCTCTCTTCTGACCTCCTCTGTACATAGTAACACTGATTTGAAATAAAAATGTCCAAATTTACATTCATCACTCCATTAGACCTGTTGACACTGATTTTCAGTAGAGTTCTTGTGTAATTTGGCATAACCTGGCCGTTTCTCCCCATTTCCCTTCCTAAAGAATGGCTTCTTGACAGCCACCCTTTCATTGGGATCATTTCTGATGAGACTTCAGTTAACAGTAGAAGGGCCAGATGCATCTCTCAAGTCCTATGTCAGGTCTTTACTGGATTTTTCATCCGTATTTCTTGAAAACATGGCTTTCAGATATTGTACAACATGCAGATAATTTTTTTTAGGCCTGCTGCTTATTTAGTCCTCCTCTTGTCCGTTTCCTCAGATTTGTTTAAGGACTCACTGAACACCACGTTGAGATATTCCAAGTTTTCAGCTAATAGCTCTTTGAAAATCATCTTGTTGGTGCAAAAAGTACTATTTTATGTATTGTACACTGTTATCTTTAACATTTTTCATACATTCTAAAAAGAAATGAAAACAAGTTTTGTTTGATTTTTACGGACTGCTACTTACAAAGTATCTAAGGATATTAAAATTAAAAAAAATCTTTGCCAAGTTATCTGTCATTCCTTTAGTTAGGTGACTTTTTACTGCCTGAATAGGTCACTGTTAAGTGGCTAACTAAAAAAAACCCAAACATTCCTCTAACAATGATTAGTTACTTGACTAGACTGAAAATGAATAAAAAAGTAGCCAGTGCCCAAAGAAAAACTTTGAAAGATCTATTGCTCAAAATCACACCAAAACAATTATATCTGGCTACTTGGAAGTAAAATATAAAGAAATGAAGGGTGGCTTAAGACTTTTGCACATTAGTGTATTTTACTCCAATAGTTCAGAGTCAGTGACCTTTTGTATAATCCATGTTTGCTGTTGTCTCTTTTCCCCCACAGAGGTACCTTCCTTTTGGCTGCTTTCCCATGCTGAAGCCAAGCAACCCTGTAATCCTGTCAGTGGTCCTTGGCTTCTGGGTCAGCTCAGATATCTGCTTCTAACCTACTCTGAATGCTAATAACGTAGTTCCTTGAATGTTATCTGGGACACCTTAAGGACATTTAAACAAGTTGTGCTGAAACATTTATCAAAATGAGAGGAAAAAAGACTTTATGTGTGTATGCTGTGCATCAATTAGACACAGTATTACCTGCTTACTAAGTAATTAAAATTCACTCCTCATCATGGGGAGTACTGGTATACGTTTTCAGTGCTGACACTTCAGTAGTTGTATCAGAGCTTGGTAAGTAAAGTTGCAAGCTCCACAGTATCAGTGTGTCAGAGATAAACAAAGCTTGGTTTGCCCCATACTAAAAGCAACAAGGATTAAAAATTCTATTACACAACTGTCATCCTGCAAATGTCTCAAAATTTCTTCCGTCCTGGTAATTATTTACTGTAGATGATACTTTATGAGCAACACTCTAAATTCTTCCTGCACTACCGAGTAGATGACATTTACACTTCATTAAGCAGCCGTTATTGTATATTGATGGCATGAGTAGCTGATTGCACAACTATTCCATCTTTGAGAAAATTAATATTTATGCAGGTTATTAAAAAAAATCTGATGCTTCATGCTTTCATTTTAATGCTTAACATTTATTACACTTTACATTGCGTAATTTTAACTCAGCTACTCAAAGTTTTGACAGGGGTTTCGAAATCCACTGAATTTCTTAGCCATATCAAAAATATGCCCAAGGGTATGTAACAAGATCAGGTTTCAAAGCTGGAACTGAAAAGCTGTTTGAATTTATCTGCACACTTTCATCCTTGGAATCATTTTGAAGCCGTTAGGACAAAGATGTCAATGTCATGTCTGTCTAAACACGGAAAGCCCTCGACATAACAACCCAAACAAATTTCCCTGTGGCAGAAAGCAAATTACACAAGGAGAACTTTCCATGCGTGATCATTTGTTTACACACACACAGAGTTACAGATGAGTGTTTGTGTG